GTTGTTGAAGAAGCATTATCAGAAGGGATTCACAGGGTTGGAGGAGACGGTGAGGAAGAATAGTCGCGGGGTGGTTTGAGTTGGCAACTGAGATGTGTCGTTAATCGAGAGTGGATAGCGTTCATTCGTAGAGATACATACTTGTGTATTGTAACGAAAGCTTTTGTCTCACAAAACATTGTTGCGACAGTGTACGGAGCGGCGAAAATAGAATCCAAATGAATCCGAAAACAATAGCCGCCAAACCCAAGACGAACCAGCTCACAAACTTGACTCGAAAACCCGCGGCATATGGACTAGTGCGCACGGGAAAACGAGCGGGCTGGATTCAAGGAGGGAGAGCGGGGACTCAATGCAGCGCCGCATCGGACCGGCAGCCTGCAGACCCGCACGCAGCTGCGGTACGAGCACGGGGGAGGGAGGAGTTGAAGAAGTAGATTCGAGTCGTGAGCAGACGATGGCGTTGGATGAGCGCGGTCAGCGAGGTAGGAGATGCGAGGAAGCAATGAGAGGTTCGAGCAAGTTGAAGGAAGAGAGACGAGCCGACTTTCGGCAATCAGACCTTGATCAGAACCGGGCCTCGGCGCGCCGGTACTCGGTCTGCCACCACTGCTTGAACTTTGCTTGAACTTCAGAATCACCTTATGCGTCTTTCAGACGCGACTGTCCGGTGGATTTTTCACTTCCTTGCAGATTCCGAGCTTTTACTTGAACGGATCCACGACTTGTGCGCGGACGCACAAACCTGAGGCTCTCTTTCCGATCCTGTCGGCGTGTACTACTGGCAGTGAATCCAGCAAGAATTCAATTGACTGCGTGGACCTGCGCATCGGGGAGACATCAAATACACTCCGGGTTGCTTTGTTCCTGCCTTCAATCAAGCATCTTCCGTTACAGCGTGGCCCAGGAATGCCTGGAATAGACCTTGGATTCATGGTGGCGCTGTTTCAGCGTTTCCTCTGTTGGCCACCTCTAGCTCCTGGTTTCCCCAGTTTCCGCTCACCTGGACACGGCTGTGAAGCCTTAACCCCGTCTTCAAAGGATCTCCGTCCATCATGTCAGTGACACACATCTCTTAGTGTTCAACTTTGCCGCTCTAAACCAGCCAAATGCTGTAACCGAGCTCTACAGCTTTCCCAGAATACCAGACGCAGATCGGTTATCGCACTGCCCTTGCAACTTCTTCTCTTACCCTCATCTCAGCGAACCTCCACATGTCGGACAGCGAGCTCTATAGCCGACTCCTCTTTCCAAAGAAGCAGGGGTACCCATTGTTTCATCCAGCGCCATTCGATGACCTCCCAGATTCAGTTCGGAAAATTGGCACCGAAATCGGAGACGTTGGCCGGATCACCCAGAATGGATCTTTCGACCCAATCTTCAATATTTGTCGTACCAGAGACGATCCCTCCAACCGATTCGGTGTTCCCCCCGCCTTCGAGCAAATCCCTCTCGGACCTGACGCCATTGCCACCAGCGCTTTGGCGCATCTCCCAGGCTCTCACATATGCAATACGAGTATCAGCAAAAGGCGCCTCGATGTGGATGCTGGCCTTGAGAACGTGTGAGCACTTTTGCGAGTGAGTCCGACACATTGACGCTCATCTAAACACAGCTTTTTTCCTTTCGGGGCAGGCGCAGTGGTCGAAGTGTCAATAGATTCGAAACAAACTGGACTGCTGTTATTACCTGATGGCGCATCCCGCTGGGACTTGCGCCGCCAGGGGCTGTTCCGCGATTACGCTTTGAAACACGCGAAGAACTGGTACGCATTTGTCAATGGCGATCTCCAGTATATGGTTGGAAATGGTGACCTCTACCTTGTCACTGGGGTCACCAAGTCGACGACTTGGAGCGTCGCGGCGGTGGAAGATCACTCGAGCGAGGGGAAAATATCACTCAAGCTCAAAGCCGCACAAGCTGGCAGTGCAGGTGCCGCATGGGCATGGGAGTCGGAAAGTGGGGGCTCGTCCGTGAACTCTGGTCCCCGGCGCCGCTTGGGGGAGGAATCTTGGAAGGACAATCAGACTGTATTTCTCCGGGGTTTCAAAGTCGCTGTACGTTCAAAGCCAACACTGAGGCGAAAACACAAGATAAAAATACGTGACATCGTGGGTTCCAAATGGTCCAATATACCGTCAACTTCAGGCGCACCCGTTCCATTCTCTCGACCACAATCCTCGGTCGCCGGCCCATCCACGGCATCCCCTAAATCGCCATCCGGTCCCAATGATTCGATCATCTCCCCAATCCCATCTACGTTCACAAACGATAGTAGCGGAAGTGACGATGAAACGCTGAGCTCTTCCAGTGTGAGCAGTGGAATCATCATATCATCTGTTAATTGACTGAAAGACTCTCAGTTCTATCACCCTTCAACTGCAATCAACGAGTATCTCCTTGACTGTGTGAGAGAGCCCTTTCCTTCCGATTTATCATCTCTAATTCAGCTTCGGCCACTAGGTCGACGCAAAAGTTGCGGTCACCCACGACGATGAGTGGGCGTCGATCTTGAGTGAAGTACGTAAATCACCGGCGATGCGTTTGGACACTGATTCCTTTGCAGGAAGAAAACGAGATTCCCGACGACCGTGAGCTCATCAGGCGCGTAAAAAGGAATTTCTGGGTGACTGATTTCAATGGTACTTATGCAGCATTACATGCCAACATCAGCAAGATGACAATCTGCTCGCGTTCTTTTGATCTTGTGATGTCGCGTGAATCTCGTCTCCGCCTAATTTTGATTTTTTGTTTCTCTCATTCCTCGACCTGGTGAGCCTCAAATTGACTCTGTATATTCTCAAACAATTTTTCCGTATGGTGTTTATGGCGCTGCACGGTGCCCAGGGCTTGCATGCCTCTTGGGAATGAAATAAAAGATGCTCGCGTGGACATCACGGACATAGCTCGTGATCGCGCGGTTTCGCGGTCTTTTTGCTCTCGTGCGAGCGCGTACGCGAGCTCACGCGCAAGTTGCGTAAATCCCGATGAACGAGTTATCATTAATCGTGTTCCAGGGGGTGCGTACCTGCAGGCGTTCCATGAAGACGCAGAATATGTTCCCGTACAAGCTGGTCGGGAGACGTCCCAAGTTACACCTTTGAGCTCACCGAGTACTCAAGTCCATGCTACCGCCGCGCATCGTTTGTTGCCTACCTTCGAATACCTATGGCTTGTGTCTAAGAATGTTCTAGATCAGGCAGCCTCCCGCGATTACAATCCTGTCCAGGCACTGGGTTTTATCCGGACCCGCGGCGCGAAACTGAAGGGGTCAGCCCTCGACCACGGCGATAAAAGTTCACCGGCTATCACCGGCATGCCTCCAAGTACGTTCTATGTAATACTCATTGTGCCTCCAATTCAACAAAAAATCAATAGACCCGGAGCAATATAGAGCTATGTTGAATAACGCCGCACAAGCCCGGGGCCAATTGGTAGAATACACTGATAGTCAGGTTATCGGACATGGGCCGACTCCGTGGACTTCTCTTACGCCGTGGCCTTCTCTTACGCCGTGGACTTCTATTGTGTATGGTGAGTGAACCCGGGTCAGACCAAATTTTCTCTGGATGCTCTGTCCGTTCCGTGGCCCACCAGAGCATTTCTCATGAAGTTTCTAGTGAATCACATTGAGTGTGGCCGTGGCAGTGGCAAGAGCAAGGCCTCCGCTCGAGAATGCGCTGCCCGGAGAGCATTGGTCGCACTGAGAGTCTTGCAGGGGTAGGCATGGAGAAGGTACAAGTCGACGGGACCTTGCAAGCAGCTCACCCTTGCACTGAGAACTACGTCTGGTCACCATTTCTGTACTTGATGATACCTGCCTGATTACCGAGTTTTATATGCATTGACGACTTCACCCCATGACACCCGTACCGGAAGATAGGGTTCGAAAGGGTTTTCCCCTTGGACCGGGTTTTCAAAGATCCACCATCCATACAGCCGTTCCAGCTTCTTGTAGCTTAGAATATGCGCTTGAGCATCGAGAGGTACATATCTGCGGTGTTTATCATGTATTTTTGAGGCGACTTTATCTAGGTGGGCCCGACTACCGCCTCCATCCTCAAGCAACGTCCTCCTTTTCTGTATTCTGATTGAACTACTTATTATTGCACACTAATCACATATTGCCGCATTGAATTGTTGTACAATCGTCGAATGCTTGAGAAATGCGAAGTTGAACATGAAACACGTGACCTTGGTTCAATTTCAATCGTGATGTGGTTACTCCCTCGGTACTCTGAAAAGCACATCTCCAGCACAGCGCGGACATAGGACTTTTAACTAGTATTCATTCCATATTGGCGATCACTTTGGAGGCGAGTTATGGAGCTCCGGGTGTGTTGAATACATTCGGAGGATGTTTCGAACGCCCGGAGTGTTGAATGCGCTCCTTCCGAGGATGGCGGATCCTGGTACGTACCTCCGTGCAAATTCACTGGCTTGACACTAAAAAATCACTGTTGTGTCTCGCATCCGGAAGGGGGTCAGAGCCTCAACTTCGAATGGTCCCGTCTAATCCGAGTATCTTTGAGTTGCATTTCTTGATATTTCCTTTGTGATCTAAAGGGTTGTATCGCTGTATTTCGCTTGCGGTAATCGTGGATTTTACATGAAGATAATTACCGGCGCCCCGCAAACAACGAAAACCGGATAAAAAAGATACTCACAATCGCGACATGGCCTAGCCTTGGTTCAAACAAGGAGCTCCCTCAGAAACAGCTGACTCATGGTCAAATATAAGAGGGTGTGTAACCGTTACACCACTAGGCCGTGCAAGGTGCAACGGGTATCACTAACTAGCTAGCTTCAATCTTCGGGGAGTTGAATCATTCGGGTTGTTGTATTAGTTCAACTTGAGTTCACCAACTGTTGTGCAATTGAACTTTATTTTCACGAGGAGAATAAATGTATGATATCGGATGGACCTGACCGGTCGAGGGCGAACGAGGGAGCGAGCGAGGAGTAGGACGGAGCCGAGCGAAAATGGGAGACAAAAGAGATGGCTTGGCCTTGATTCGAACAAGACATCTCCTCAGAAACTTCTTACTTACCAATTATTAAAGTTGAGAGGATGTGTTACCACTACACCATCAAGCCAATGAATGCTGAAACCTTCCTTACTGTATGGGCTATAATCGATGACAATCCGTCACTGCAGGGAGATTGAACTTAATGTTCAACCTTGCTCGCAGCCGCCAAAAAAACATTCTCAATTTCGTCTGACTGAGTTGGGGAAGATTTGTTGTGGAGCGAGAAAGAGAGCGATGAGCCCATGCAAGTGTTTGGAAGGAAAGAAAAAAATATGTCTGAACAGTGCCATGGCCTGACCTTGACTCGAACAAGGAACCTCCTCGGAACGTGGAGCAAGTGGAACATCGAGAGGATGTGTTACTGTTACACCACCAGACCGTGATTGGCAAGGTTGCCCCGTGATTTGGATTGGATTAAATTCGGATGTAAGTAGAGGAATCCGTTGCTTTTGTCTGGGTTGAACGCCGGTCGGACTTGACAATTGCTATGGCACAAATGCTACGTCATTTTAACTACGAATGGAAATTGTCTATGTCTCCGTGTCGACGGTCCGTTGAACCAGGCGAACGGGGATCCGAAAGAAGAAGGGTTCAAAAAAGTAAGAGAGAGCGAGAGAAAAAGCGACAGCCTTGCCCTGATTCGAACAGGGAATACCCTCATAAATGATAACAGTGCCCACTTCATAATAAGAGGGTGTGTTACCGTTACACCACGAGGCCGTGAATCATCCTCGTTTGGGGATATATACGTACTGGGCTCAACCATGTTCGAGCTCTCTCTGAGCTTTCACTGTGCCGCAATCGAATTAATCCACGTCAACTTTGAGATGTTTGGGAGACGGACCCGGTTTATGTTCGCCAGCCGGGTGCGTAACGGTGTAAAACCTGAAGGTATGACTGCGTCAGGAGACTCGCGTGGGGAACAAGGAGAGGCTGGTTTGGTGACATCAGTTCAACTTGACTCCGTACTACGCTCTTTTCTCAACTCCCTGCCAAACTCGAAGCCCCGGTCTAGCAACGAGCCGGCCGCGAGCGGTTGTTACCGGGTCTAAAATTTGAGGAGACTTGCCAGTAGGGAACAAGGAGACACCGGAGTGCGGGACCCCGTTCAACATCGGTTCAACTTGAGTCCCAAAGGGCAGCGCTTGGGCACAAGTAAACCCCACGTCGCCAACCCTCGGAGGCAGCCACGGGTCGTCTTATCTTGAATGTTGACTTACTGCATCGCGAGGCTAGAGCGTAGCCAGGCCGTCAATGTAGAGAGAAAGAGTAAGCAAAGAACGTTCATCTATTCGCAGGACTGGCGCTAACCTCTTTCGCCATGTCATGGGTGACGCTCTTGATACCGTGGCGCAGCGTTGACAGGGCTAGACACGCTCTGACACGGAGTACTTACTATCGATAGGACTCCAACGAAAGAACGGGCTGGAACGCAAGCTGTGGGGAAGGATATTGTATTGATTGAGGAGTGGAAATAGAGCGGGCTTGAACGGGGGCGATGAGAGGCGGCCGTAAGAGAGAAGAGCAGATGAACGGACTTCTGGCAGTCTTCTGCGCGGGAGAATGCGGGGTAGCGTGACGTCACAGTGACTCCCCCGCATTAATTTTGACGCGGAATAAACCGGGTCCCTTCCTGCCAACCACTTTCTCGTTTCTGCCACCACCTTGCTAGGATGTCCCGCTTCGACCGGACAGCGATGAAGCACGCCCGCCTCTACACCGCCCTCCCCCGCGTTGGCGGAGTCCGCTCCAACTCCAACACCCGGCTTACCGCGCAGACTCAGTGGCACGCAAGCTGGCACGCACCATCTGTCCATCGACTCCGGGACCGCGGCGAGGTCGAGGACCCCAACAGCGACGGCGACGCCCGCTCGCCCTCGCCGGCAAGCCAGTATTCTCACCCGGCTCACCCCCCGCTCTTGTCTCTGCCGCGGCAACGCAGCGTAGGTGCGTGTTGTCATTCTTTCCTGTTTGTATAGTTTCTTTCCTTCCTACGCGGCGGACAGCGTCGGCGAACGGCGTTTTATCTTGGTTCATCTCTGCGAGGGTGCTTTGCTTTGGTTACACCATCCCTCGTTCGTCCAGCGGACGACTGGTCTTGTTTTGCATTGTTCGCGCACATTGCGATCCGACCCGAATCCCTCGCGGACTTGGTCACTGACGTGCGCTGTGATTCTTGAGGGGGTGCGTCGACATATCTGGCTGGGCTGGGCGCACTGATAGGGAGGTTTGCTCCTGCGCGTCGAGTGCTCCGTCTCCGGTTGTACTTGCCTTCGTGCGCGTTCGGTAGCCTATAGACGGGATGGTCTGCAGCTATTCGTTACAGTTGCCGTATGTTAGGGATGGGTCTCTTGTGTCCCGGACCTTTTCTTCTCTTTTCCCCCTGTTCTGTCTATTCTTTCATTCAACCAAGACTCAAAAGTCGGTCCGTTGTGCAATTTTTTTAGGTTGGATCGACCTCTAATTTGATACTACTAGGACTGCCGCTCTGTAATAGTTCCCCGGAAATAATATATCCTTCGACGACCCGCGTGCTTCTTGTATATGAGCCTGAGGCATCAATCCACATACTTGCTATCGGTTGAACCAGCCGCGCTCGGGCTTTCCGAATCTTGAGCTGTCTTCCGGATTCCCAACTGGACTGGAATTGTGCCTTTTCGCCATGTCGGACAGGTCGAACGCTTGGATAGCCACATTCTTAACAGCTGTTGAACACGTGCATGCCGTGCGCGTTTGTTTTTAGTAGCGGGCTGCTTCGACCTGTGTCGGTCTCCTGCACAGTGTCGTCTTTCCTGTCTCCCATGTCGGCCAGTACCTCCATGTCTCTGATGCGCCCAAATCAGCGCGCGGACGGAATGCAACTCGTTCGTGGCTCATTGAACGATCCTGGAGTGGGCCGAACCATGCATCAAGCGTATTCGCGCGTCGGGAAATTCGTAGAAGCGCGGGCGAACCGCGCTGCACATCGGTGGGGACGGGGTCCCTCCGCAACCGCCGAGCGCATCGAAGCGTATTTTGGTACGGGGCAGCACCGAGAGGACAAGCTGGAAGCGTTGCGCACCCACAAGTGCCCGTGGCTTGAGGATGAGTGTTCCAAGCTGATGAAATATTCACTGCCGTGAGTAAAATTTAGTATCATATCCAACAAGATGGGATTTTGCTTTGCAGGTGCGAAACAGCGCGGACACAGGTCCAGACGTTCACATGTATCGTGACCATTGCCACGCGGTACCATGGGACGCGGGACCTCTTCCTTCAATCCAAGCACCTTCAACGAACTGGAAATACAGAGACGACAATTTCCGCGGTGTGGGCGCGCGCGGATGACACGCAGTCTCACGAATGGGATCATTACTGCAGATATGCGGCTGCTTGTCTGTCCGAAACGCAGATTTCCGCAATCCTAAGGAAGATTCCGGCAAGATGCTTCGGTATTATTGACTCGGAGAGCAGCGGCCTCGGCGTCATCGAGCGCCTGTTGATTGCGTCGGAACGCAAGTTCGTTGTCTGATCAGAATCGAACAGAAGGCAGCATTTTAATCCTGTTCTACCCAGCGCAAGTTCTATATCCGATGCTCTGGCTCAGCGATATCTGGCCGGCATCCTGGAACTGCCCAGCTTCTGGCGAGGGGGCGGATTATTCCACATGACAGTTTTCAATAAGATTTTGGGCAGCATGCTCCGTGTTTTGAACGACCTCGCGCTGGATATATATGAAGCCGAAGCCGAACACGCGAATGATATAGACTTTGACCACCAAGGAATCGACTTCATGGCCAGTGCGATCCTGGTCGGGGTGCCGGGCTGTGGGTGGAGTATGACCGACACAAAACAGCATTGCTATATCAGTCTTGCTGAGATTGTGCGATTACTTCGGCTGTACGTTTCTTAATTATGTTTCCTCCTGATTCGGACTTATTCCTCGTCAGGCCGCGAGCTGAGTCTCTTTTGCCGATGTCGGCGACACTTGCAACTGGTGACGCCATAGAAAACATTATTCCAACCACAGTACCGAACAGCTTGCAATTCGATATCTTGATGAGGGCGTACGTTTCCATAGCTCGGATAGAACGTTGGGAGAAATTATTCACGTCTACATACAGAGAACACGACAGCGAGATTCCTCATACCAACGCGGGGCGTAAGTGTGTCCAGCCTCGATCTAGGCAACTGTCCAGCTTCTCTGTCCGCAGACATCGATCAACGGAGCGTTGGTGAAGTGCTGAACGATCCTGTTCGAGATCTCGGATTTCTTCCCAAACTTGTCTACACCCAGTCCGAGTCTGCCTCCCCTCGGTGGATGACGCACATCGGTGATTTTCTCCGTGCCCGCCGCTGGCGGTCGGATTCGCGCGAGTCTGCGGCGGTAGAAGCACGCACGGGGATCGCCAGCCGTCTGCGCAGCGTCTTGTCGCGCCTTAACCGCCATGAAAATTCTGCAACTTCTTCGGATGCTTCGGTGCATAATTCAGCCTCGGCTCCCCCTCCGCAACAAATCGATTCGGACGGAATGTCAATCCAGATGAGCGGCGATAGCAATGACTCGGAGGATGGGGAGCATCCAGTTGTGGTTGAAATACGGGGCGAGGATTCTACCGCGCATTTACTGGCCTTGCGCGAAGAAACCAGGCCGCGCCTGCCCTCGTTAGCCGAAACTGCAATGCCAGACGATGCTAAGGAGATCTCTCTCGAGACGTATCGCGGCAATAGAGGTGCAGAATCAATTTCCATCCAAGGTGTTCCTGCGGCCGCTATGCATGGTGTGTGCCCACCTTCTGATGACCATGACTTGCGTTTAAAATATCCTGGGACATGCAGCGTCGCGCAACGGGACTGTAGGAAAGCTGAAGGTAACCCAGACCCGGGACACAGAACAAGGCACGTTCCTATTCAATTGGAAGGGTTTATCTTCGGAAATGACCATGATATTACAGTCGTACCTGTTATCAAGTTCAAGGGGGAACAGAAGGGGGCATCTATGCCGATGCGCCGCGAGACTTGTACGTCTTATGCGATCCTCCTCTGAGTTGTACTTCAGACGAACAACCACCAAAGTCCCACAGCAACATTATAGAGTGACATTGAACAATGTGGGCCAAGTGTGGACCCAACCTGTCAGATACATAGACAATGAGACGAGAGCCAGGGGAATCGCCACGTGGACTGCTGTGGCCTATGGTGAGTAAACCAGTTGAAATTATCTGTCATTCCCGTGCTCCCTCTTGCAAGCATCGGTGTTCCTTCCCACTAGAATTTTTCTCTCATATCGTTCATAGTTAATGACAAAGAGTGCGGGAGTGGCCAGGGCAAGAGTAAAAGCGCCGCTCGGGAAAGGGCTGCCAAACGCGCATTGATCAAGCTGAAGGTCATACAGGCAGAATAACATGTTAGTATTTCGTTGAACCAGGCTCCTTGTATTACAAGAATGTTTCAACTTATTGCTAAATGATCTCCGCCATCCCACCATCGCCTATTATTGACCCGGGGCGATTCGCTATTCCCTCTGCTTGCACAAACTAGGACAGATCCCGGACCTGTCAGGGGAATATTGGAAGAGCTGTTCCGAGTCGGTATAATATGTTTAGTACGTAGCTGGGCTGCTCTCAGTTTTGTAATAATCCGCTCCCAGGTTGCGGTGATGTTTCAAGAGGATGGGACGTCACGGTATATTCAGTTGAAATGCCGGAGTTTTACATCCCGAGTGAAGCGAGATGCTAAGGCTCATTCTTGCGTGACACTCAGCCGCTGAACGCCTGCTCTGTTCAATGTTCGTTGCACCGTCCCGCAACTGAGTTGAACCGTGGGAATAACAGACTCGGATGGCGGAGTGTTTTCTCCTACGTCATGTCCGGACTTCTGAGAGAAGTAGCTATCGAATCCTGGCACAGTGAGGCAGAGAAAATGTCCGAGCTGTACATAGCTCACCTTCATGGATGGCCTGCTCCGAAACAATTTTTCTGCCGAGTTGCTTTCATGCACGGCGATACATGTATTCCATCTGTTTTCTTTCAGATCGTTCACCCACTGATCTGGCTGTGTTCAGTGTACACAATGACTCAACGAGAGCATGGGATTACGATAAAAAGAGGATCCGAAATGCGATATGGCCTAGCCTTGATTCGAACAAGGAGCACCCTCAAAAGGCTATGATTCGGACTAATATAAGAGGGTGTGTTTCCACTACACCACCAGGCCATGCACATTGGGTAATGCAAGTGTACCGAGCTTGAGAACCGTGGGTTCGTCTTTGGTTCAATTTTCGCAAATTTTTGGGTTATTGGTTTGCATTTTTGGCTGCGTGTCACTTAGTACGTAGATGCCAAAAGTCCGCCAAGCTATTGCGAAGAATCATGTAGTAGATCCAGGGCTCGCAGAGGGAAGAGAATGCGGAGTCGAGAGGCAAAAAAAAATGAAGATGAGGAAGGATGGATGGCCTAGCCTTGATTCGAACAAGGGGCTCCCTCAGAAACAGAATACCAATCGCTTAAGATAAGAGAGTATGTTACCACTACACCACCAGGCCATGTTAAATATGGAAGATGGTGCAATAGACACGATTTGCGCTTGGATCGATTGGAGAGTCGGGTAGACTTGGAATAAACTGTTCAGCATGCACTATGCACTCAACTGACCTTGTTCTTTAGGATAAATATTGGGCGCAGGACGAGCGAGTGGGCTTTCGGAGGGTGGAGCCGAGCGAAAAAAAAAAGAAAAAAAGGAAAAAAAAATGTACAACTAGAATTACATGGCCTGACCTTGATTCGAACAAGGGATCTCCTCAGAACTCAAATCTTAACCAAAAGTTGGGAGGACGTGTTACTGTTACACCACCGGGCCATGATTAGAAGGTTGCTTCCGTGGTTTAGATGGTGGTTCGGGATGTGAAGAAATCTGCTGCTTTTGTCTGCGTTGAACTTCGACAATTTGTACGGCGAAAATGCTACGTCTTTGAAAGTATGATTGGAAGATGTCTAATGTCTCCGTCGCGGACGACGCTGTACCAGACGAATGGCAATCCAAAAGAGGAAGAATACAAAAAAAAGAGAGAGCGACTGAGGAAAAGTTACATAAGGCCTTGCCTTGATTCGAACAAGGAACACCCTTATACAGTGATACTGGCCTGGTTATATCAAAGGAGCGTGTGTTACCATTACACCACAAGACCACGAGCTGTATTGAGTTATAGTCAAGGGTATGGTAGAAGATTCAGCTTTGTTTCATCCAAGCTCTCTGCCAATCCATCCGTAATTATCCTACATATATTCCGCGGAAGCTTGGAAAGGTTCGCCAGAGGGAGCCAATCTATATGCCAGCCATGGACAAGACACCGTTGGCTCAGGAGACTCGGCATGGGCATGGGCATGGGGAACAAGGAGACCCCGGTTTAGTCCCGTTCATTGAAATGGGTTCAACTTCACTCCCAGACAGACAGCGTAGACTCGGCATGATTCAGAGGCACAAAGTTAACCCCAAGTTGAAAACGAGGCGGCCATGATTGTAGTGCGGGACGCCGTTATATGTTGGCAGTGATGCCCATCTCGAGGCCAGGACGTACCCAGGCCGTGAATTCAGACAGAAAGAGCAACCAAAGAGCATTCATCGTACCCGCAAAACAACCTCTTTCACCGTGTCATGAGTGACGACGCTCTTGATACGGTGGCGCACCGTCGACAGGGCTAGACACGGCCTATCGATGGAACTCCAACGAAAGAACGGGCTGGAACGCAAGTTGTGGGGAAAGGATTTTGTATTGGTTGAAGAGTGGAAATAGAGCGGGCTTGAACGGGGGCGATGAGACGCGGCCGTAAGAGAGAAGAGAACACGAACGTACTTCCAGCTGTACTTCCGCGCGGGAGAATGCGGGGTAGTGTGACGTCACAGTGACTCCCTGCATTAATTTTCACGCGGAATAAACCGGGTCCTCTTTCTCCAGCCACTTTCTCGCTTCTGCCACCACCTTGCTAGGATGTCTCGCTTCGACCGGACAGCGATGAAGCACGCCCGCCTGTACACCGCCCTCCCCCGCGTCGGCAGGGTCCGCTCCAACTCCGCCTCCTCCCGCACCCTCTACACAAACCCGACCACCCTCCAATTCTTCGACCCCGCCCCGCCCCCGCCGCCCAACACCCGCCTCACCGCGCACCGTCTGCCCATCGAGGCCCGTGGCGAGGTCGAGGGGTCCAACAGCGGCGGCAACCCGCACACAACGCACGCCCCGCTCGCCCTCGCCGCCCCGCACGCACCGGCGAACCAACACCCGCACCCGGCGCAGCTCGCCCTCTTGTTCCCATATACTCCTGGGCCCGCGCCGAAACCCGGGCCTGCACATGCGGCGAGTGGGACGCGCACGCAACGAAGAAGGGGGCCGCGGTATACGCTTGACGTCGGGGCGTATGGCATCCCGAAGCGCGGGCATCGGGTGCGCGCGCTGCATACGCATGCGGAGGCGCAGACGGATGCGCCGCTTGCGGTGCAGGTCGGCGAGGATGCGTACTTTGTGCGCGAGAATGCGATGGGCGTGGCGGATGGTGTTGGTGGGTGGGCGAGAGTAAAGCATCCAGGTGGGTGTTGCCATTCCTCGACTCGTTTTCCTGTTTCTTTCTTTCTTTCTTTCCCTACGTCGGGCAACGTCGTACGGCCTTTTTTTCATTTCTTCTGTGCGAAGACCGCTTTTCTTTGCCTATTTGTCGCTGTTCATTCATTCATCCGGCGGGACACGATGACGGAGTCACCCTGGCGGAGAATCAGCCGCTTCATGCCTGGCACTTGCTTTCTTTCTCTCTTTCGCCTTCACTCCTTTTTTATCTTTGATTCTCGTCGTTGGTTCCGAATGGACACGATGCGCAACTTTCGCGGAGCTGTCGGCCGGACCGCGTCCGTTCGCAGGTTCGGTGGCTCGCCCTCCGCCCTAGTAGCACCCGCGGGCCATCTTTCCCCCGCACGCGTTCTGTCGTGATTGCGAGGCCCACTTGCTTTCTTTGCTTTCTTTGCCGGGGACGGTTGTCGTTCTCTTCATTCATCCGTTCATTCCTTCATTTCCGCTCGTCCTGTGGTTGCGCGGCGAAGAGTCGGCCGCCCTATTCTTGGCGCTTGCGTTCTTCCCTCCGATTCGACTGTTGTTCTTTCACTTTCTTTCCGTGCCACTGTTCTATTTTTTCGGTGGGACGCGCGCCACGGATTTGGGAGGTGGCTCCTCGCGGAGCTTGGCCCGGCCGTTCTCATTTTACTTTCTTTCGGGGCGTAGCCTCCTCAGATCCGATCCGTCTTCGCGGATTCGGTGGCTTGCCACGCTGGTAGCAGTCAATGCACCTGTTCGCAAGTGGCCGGTTCGCCTCTTCCACGACATATCTCCTTTGCTCTACATATTTTCCCCCCTTCCCTTTCACGTCTGCGCGGCCGTTTCTTTGCCCTTGCGCAGGGGAGAGCTGCGATTCCCTTGCGCTCCCGTCCAGTTGCTATATTTGTTCAACGGGACACGGAGGCGGAGTTAGCATATGCATATCGCTTTCCTTCTCTCCTCTTTCTATTCATTGCCCCTTGTCTTCTTCCCTCCTTTCGCCGGTATACATCCGTGCTCGTCGCGGATCTTGCACTCGCGCATTTCTGTTTTCGCGGACAGGTCATGAGCGCTGGCGAATCTTCGTCCCGCATGATGAGCGCGTCATCTTGCGGCTTCATTTCGCCTCTCCTGTTATATTTTCCCTTCCACTTTCTTTCTTGATTTTTTGAGTCTTTGATTCTCTTCTTATTTTCTCCCTTTCCCTTCTTTCTTTCTTTCTTTTGGACAAGCACGCTGACCTACTTTTATTTGATTTGCAGCACCCCCCACAGGCCCCAGCGCCTCCGCGCTCTTCGCGCGCCGTCTGATGCACTTTTGCGCAGACGAGGTCGACCGCGCGTCGCATCCGCATCCGCATCCTTACCTGGATCACCCTCCGCACCCGCCGCAAGCACAACCGATCGTGACGCCGTGGCGCGCGCCGTACCCCCCATCCTCATCTTCGCTTCCCTCGACGTCCTCGTCCTCGCTGCCCCCGCCGCGCCCGACAGTGCACGCATGGGAGTGGAAGTACGACCACGACCGCGACGGCGACGGCACGAACGTGTGGGACCTCTACCCCAACGAGTACCCGCCCCCCGGGCACGACAAGCGCGAGCGCATCATGACGGACCTGGAGGTGGAGTTCCCGCATCTGTTCGAGGGGGAGCAGGAGGCGTGGGATAGGCGCGTGGCGGGGCAGGATAAGCGGACGAGGGAGTGGAAGGAAGAGCGGGAACAGAGGGAGAGGGAGAGGGCGCGGGAGGAGAGGGAGAGGGAGAGGGAGAGGGAGAAGGAGGAAGCGCTCGAGGTGGAGCTGGGCGAGCTCGCGGACGGGCTGGACGTGCTGCATATCCTCGAGCGGGCGTATGAGCGGACGTTATCTGCGCATGTCGTGCCTGCGCCTACGACTACGCCACGGACAACACCTTCGACTTCGACTTCGGCATCGACAACGCCGCCGCTGTGGTCCTTCACGCCCGAGCCGAAGACGATCCCGCTGCTTGCGGGGAGCAGTACGGCGCTCGTTGCGGTGTTGGACTACGTTCCCGCTGGGGATGTCGCGGGGTTTGAGTTTTCGGGCGCGTCGAGTGCCGCCGGGATCGCAGCCTCCGCGTCGACTTCCTCATCAAGTTCTTCGAACGCAAATGGCAAACTGAAGGATGTAGCAGGAGGAGGAGTAGGGGTAGGAGGAATAGGAGGAGGAGTAGGAGGCGGAGCAGCAGGGGGAGAAGGCGCAGAGCTGACGCCGGTGCTCAAGATCGCGCATGTGGGGGACTGCATGGGGATGCTGGTGCGTGGCGGGGAGGTGGCGTGGCGGAGCGAGGAGATGTGGTGGAGGTGGAATACGCCGGTGCAGTTGAGTGCGGTTGATGGGTCGGGTGCTGCGTCCGGTTCTACTACTACCTCAACGAACGCGAAGGGGAAGGGGAAGGCGAGCACGAGTGATGGGGCACGGTGGTGGCCGCCCGCTTCCTCCTCCCCTTCGTTAGCATCGACATCGACGGCGACGACGCAGGGGAAGTCAAGCACGAGCGCGAACACACCAAGCACGAGCACGCACGTCACGCCCTCCTCGGCCGCGCACCTCTTCACGCTGCCCGTGCAGGCGGGCGACATCGTCATTCTCGCGAGCGACGGGCTGAGCGATAACCTGTGGGACGAGGATGTGCTTGAGGAGGTGGAGCGCGTCGGGCGGGCGTGGTCTGCTTCTTCTTCTGCTTCCCCGGCTTCTGCATCTGCAAGTTCTGGATCACCACCGGCAGAGGCGGAGGCAGAGCTATTCGAGCTGGACGCGGACGAAGAGCTCCAGACGGCGGAAAGCCCAGGCCCGAGTGTGACCGCGGCGGTGGACAGCGCGCGCCTGCGCCGCCGGACGCTCGCAGGGATGCTGAGCGAGGCGCTGTGTTCGCGTGCCAGGAGGGTGGCGATGCGGCGGGCGGGGAAGGAGCGCGGGAGGGCGTGTGTCGTTCCGGGGTCTTCTCCTTCTTCGTCGTCGGGTGCTGCATCGTCTGTGGGCTCCGCATCGTCGTCTCTGGGCTCGACGTCGCTGCCGGGTGTGCGCGAGGAAGCCGTAGACGCGGAGGTAGGGGTGGACGAGGACGACACGCCCTTTGCGCGGCGGGCGCGCGAGACGGGGAGGGTGTATCGTGGGGGGAAGAATGATGGTACGCTTTGACTCTTTCTACATATGTCAAAACGCTCAGCGGAATCTTTCCATGTAGATATATCGGTGATCGTTGCTGTGATTGCGCCGGCGGAGGAGCAGCGCGGGTCGGGTCGGGGGAGTGGAGGCGGGCGCGTGGAGGCGGCGCGTGCGGCGGGGTCGTGAGCGCTGACGGTCTGGTGTGCGGTATACATGCGCGTTCGAAGCCTCTCCGACCCGGATATTATATTATCTATGGCTATGGCTATGGCGCCTCCTCCGCCTCGCCTCGCCTCACCCTCATCATACAGCATGTTCTCCGATATGCACTTGGCCCTCCGCCGGCAGGGCACTCCGATACACCGACAGGGATCCATATGTACCACCACCACCCCACTCAGCATACGCACATGCACTTCGTACAGTATACTGCTATACTGCTTACGACGTTAGAACGATAGCGATCTTGTGCTTTTTGGAA